CCCATAGCCCCCCCCAACACCCCCATACATCCCCCCAACACCCCCATACCGCCCCCTAACACCCTCATACCCCCCTCTTAAACCCCAATAACCCCCCTATACCTCCTCCTAACACCCTCATACCTCCCCCTTTACCCCATTTACCCCCCAAAAAATATATTGCGGATTTGGGCTGCTCTCCTCAAGCCGCACACGACCATGTAATCAGAAAAAAAAAATAAAAAAATTTGCCAGTCTGCCGACCGCCGACGGGTCCGCCTATGCGCCAAAACAACCCTGTTGGGAAACATAATCTCAAAGGAAGACAAACTAAATGACATAATAAGAGGCTTGAGGGATTACACAGGGAAACCAGCAGACATAATCCTCTTGCAAGAAACACATCTAACTTGTTCAGAGGATCATAATAAAATCAAGAAATTCTTCACAAGAAAACTAGGAGGAATTAAAGACGAGATTTGGGCCACAGACAATAACTCAAGCACGAAAGGCACGACTATCCTAATACCCAAATCCTCACGCTTCTTCATAGCAGGCACAGTTCAAGGAATGGACGTTGACAATGAAACAAGAAGATGGTGCATGATAAAAAAAAATGAAAAATGGTGCTTGATGGATCTTAAATGGAAAGAAGAGGAAGTTAGTTTCATCAACGTGTATGCACCCAATAACTCATCAGGTAGATTGGAATTGATGTCCACGGTGGGAAGTCTGGTAACACCTTTCTCCCCTTGCATCTTAGCAGGAGACTGAACTCAACTCTGGACCCGACTTACAACAGAATCTCTCGAGCAACCACGGCTCAAGCTTCACAAGAAGCGGTTCCAGTCCTTAAGCTGATGATGGATCACAACTTGGCGAACCTTTTCCGTACGCTACACCCGGAAAGAAAAGCATTCTCGTTGGTAAGGAAAAACCACGCTCATCAAACGGCTTTCTCCCGCATTGACCACTTCCTTGTCTCAGAATCTCTAATGGGAACCATCAAGGAGGCTGGCATTCTCGCCCTGTCCGCATACTCCGGATTAGATCACAAACTGGTAGAGATAATTCTCAGCTATGAGCAATACATTACGAGAGGAGCCAGCTTCCACAAATTGAACAATTCCCTCCTTCTCAGTCAGGTCTTCTCGGATAGTGTACATCAGGGTTGTCAGGCGGGGGCCCCCGGGGGCAAAGCCGGGGTAGGGGTTTGACCCCCGGACCCCC